CGGGGTTGTTTTTTCAAAGGGTGGTTTTTTTTTTACTTATTTTATCGTAATCTTTAAGGTTGGTTGTTTTTGTTTGGCGTTGGTTGGTGGTGGTCTTCTCCCCCCCCCCCCCCTTTTTTTTTTTTTTTTTTTTTTAGATAAGGAAAAGATAATAAAGATTCAAGAGAAACAAATGAAAAGAGACGCTAATTAATGTACGAAACCCCCCTTATTTACTTGGTCTCTGTTTAAAATACGAGTGGTTTAGCCTATATTATAGAGCGGCAATTAACAAATTGGTCAATTGTGTCAATTCGGCAACTACCTTATTACTGAACCTAAGGTACGTAATCTTGTCCACAAAAGAACTTTTCTCATGAGAGCTAAAGCCAGCTAAAAGTCGTCGAGAACAGATCAAATCAAGTTGTTATCATCGGTTTTATGGCAGTGATCCTGTTTGCAAAATGTATCAAACCACCCTTCCTTATCATTAAAATCACAGTGCGAGTTTCGTATCACGTACGCCTTTCTCATCCCCCTCCCTTTTTTTTTCTTTCTTTTTTCTCCTTTTTTTAATGAAGCGAAAACAAGCATACAGAATGGTTTCTGTATCTTCCTTGGGTATCTCTAAAAGCCTGGATTGAAAAGGACGAGATGCTAGAATCAAAAGCCGGGCCTGATACTGCATTAAAACCGCGAGGGCTCACTTAAAAGGATTTTTAGGTGAAAGGTGGGATGAGGAGCCGGCGGAAGGGTGTATCGACGGTGATGATGTGCGTCCCTGTCTGGTAACTGCGTCAATAGCCCAGCTAGGTAGGCGAGGGTTACCGTGGGAAGACTGCTTCGCCTTTCTGTTCTCGATAACAGTTTCTAACGCCTCTTGATCATCTAGTCGAAGAGGTTTACGTCGGCCAGAACTTTCCCCCTTGGGAGTGGACGACATTTGGTGGAGTGCGTACTGGAGATGCTGTCGTCAGAAATAGAAGTTAGTTGGATCTTGTCATGTGAAGGTGAATGGTTTGTTCCTACTTTAGGGCCTGCCTCGGACTTGTGAGTCGCTGCGGCTTTTTGTTCCTCCCATTCTGCCTCGGTCAATTCGTCCCAATCATGCCGCTTTGCAGCAATATCCGATGGCTCCATATCGGCTAGCTCAGAAGTAGACAGAAGGTTCAAGCAAATGGCTTCAACAAATCGTGGAGACGATGCTGCTGTCATTATCTCCCATTTTACTTGGGCATGTTGCTCGGGAGGTCGTTGTCGACCCCAAACTGCTGCTGTAATAGCGTGCGCGGTACCTCGTTTCTGTTCTTCATCATGCGGTGCATTGCTCATTAAAAATGCTCGCGTCAACTCTCCCTTGAAAGCTGGTTGGTTCTCCCAATTAGTGAACTGACTATCTACGACGTGGCCTGAAGTTTGCGGTGATCTTCGAATATGCGTAGTAGTACCCTGAATTGGCCGCAACAAGTCGGGCTGATATAAGATAGCGTTATTCTGAGGAGGGTTTGCGGCCTGTAGGGTATTAGAGCTCTCGGTAGGAGGCGCACCTAAAACCTGATTATTCTGAGCCTTGCTATCTACTACAGGAGTCTGCAGCATAGTCCTGTTAGCTTCGTTGGGGAGTCTACTTTGATTCGTAGAATCCAGAGGCAGAGTAGGCTTGCCCAGTCTACGAGCCTCATTTTGGGCGATCAACCGGTCGGCTTCTGCACGGTCCTCGGCCGTCAAGACAGCATCTTCGAGTTCTTCCTCCTCAAAAGTGTCCATCATTGTAATGGCTCTAATGCCGTCTTTGTGGGCTTCAATAACCTTATCTAGGACATTATCTTTGCCAATATGTGTATTGATGTTTTGTTGTTGGGGCTCCGTTGGCATCTCAAATGATTGTCCGAATTCCTGGGCTTTAGGGATCGGGTTTTTCTGGTCAACGACTCGGGAAGCTAACTGCATCTTCCATATCGCCATGTTCAGCGCCTTCTCCTCGGAGGTACCCCCACAAACCAAGCGGTAAACATAGACTGGTTTCTTCTGACCAATACGAAATGCACGTCCGACGGCCTGTTGCTCGTTCTGGGGATTGAACTTAACGTCAAAAATAATGACTCGATTGGCACTCGTCATGTTGAGGCCAACGCCGCCAGCTCTGGTAGAGATGAGGAACACATCAACTTTGCCCTTGCTGAATTCCTTGACAACGAACTGTCGTTTAGTTGTCGGGACTTTCCCGTCAATCCGTTCATAGGAATACTTCTTGGTCTTGAGAATAGACTCTATATAATCGAGCGTACGGATCGATTGACTAAAGATGAGAACTGAATCACCTATGCGCTTGCACTCGTCGAGAATAGAGAGCAATATTAGGATTTTCCAAGATAATGCATATGCACCCAGGTCCCTTGTCTTATGCAAGAGTGTAATCTCGCTGGTAATAAGCTCACTAGGTAGAGCCTCCGCCTTCACAGTCAGATTTGCAGAACTCTGTTTTCGTTCCTGTAACTTTTTCATGAAGATCGAGGGATGGGCACAGAGGATGCCTAACGTGTCAATGGAAGCCAGTTGACTCGATCCTGGGTGATCTAGTTGGTAACGGATGAAAGTTTCATACGCCTCTCGCTGCACATGGGTAAGGGGTACGGTTAAGAGGAATTCTAGCTTTGCTGGCATGTCATGCTTCAGTGCTGCGATTGTTATTCGCTGTACTTTTGGCGCAACTTCTTCCTTGAGAACCCTCAACATCTTTAGAGCCATTCTGCGCTGACTCATGGTGCTGTCTAGTTTGAGCCCCTCTTTGATTGGATTGGCATACAACGACCTGAATTCGCTGATATCGGACAGGTAGTTTGGTGCAATCCAATTAACCATGGCATGGTACTCTTCGACCCTGTTAGCCAGGGGGGAACCGGTCAGAGCAATTCGGCTCAGGGTTCTAAAATGTGCGCCGGCGGCGTGAGTTTGCGACTTCGGGTTCTTCATCGTATGCGCTTCGTCGGCTACAACGAGGTTGGGACCGTCGCATAGTGTTTCTCTGAAATCTTCGCGTGTCACATAGTCCTTGAAGAGATTGTAGCCAAAGATGAGGATGCCACCTCGTTCATCCCAACTATCGATGTTCGCATCACGATCGGAAACATCCGCAGACTGGTCAACTTTGAAAAACTCGCCAAGTTTATGTCCTTGGGGAGCCCAAGAAAGTAACTCGTCCATCCAGTTGTTAACGAGCGAAGGGGGGCAAAGAATAAGGGTTTTTGACTCCTTGAGGCCTCTAGGTATCTGACAGGAGATCGACTTATCTTCGGACCCTGCAGCTTCGGCGATAGCCACTAGAAGTGTAATGATTTGCATGGTCTTTCCGAGACCCATGGTATGCGCGAGTAGACAACCTTGCTTCGCTCTAGAGTCTACAATCTGATTCCACATGAATCTGACTCCGGCTACTTGATGTTCCTTGATGCGCCGTGCGATCTCGGGATGGATGTAAATAAATCCTTGGTCGTCTTCTTTGCTCTCGTTGATTATCATATTCTTCTGATCAAGAACCGCTACGCCTTGTGCCTCGAGCTCCTTAAACTTCGCACGGAGTACTTCTTGTCTATGTTTCTGTTCTGCCGCCCGTACCCGATCATGCTCTCTGAGGCTTTCTGCTTCTTGATTGCGAACCAACTTCTTACGTCTCTTCCGCTTCGAGGGAGATTTTCGATCAGGTATTCCCGTATCAATTACTTTCCACTCGAAACGATCAGATAGGCGGCGGAGGAAGTTTGTATAACTTTTGAGTGTCTCTGCCTGTGTCTCTGCATCTTCTGCCTTCTTCATTATGTCATCATAGCTTAGCTTCTTGTACTGAATTATTGAGTAGAAGTTATCGTCTCTATATATTTCAAACAAACGAAGCATCGTGAAGGCAGCGAAAGCTCTTTTCTTCTCGAGAGTATCGTAGGGAGACTTCGGGATTCTTCGCTCTTCCAATTCACCGCATAGAAAATCTATCCAAGCTTCGTCTGATTTATTCTCCATGGTTACCGAAAAGATATATGATAGATATCCTTCGTCTTGCCTGGCCAGTTCCTTGGCTACCATTTGCTCAGCTGGGTCTAGGTCATTGACGCTCATTATAAGAGGCGATTGCTCATTATAAAACTGACTTAGTTTTCCTGGCGTGTTACTGGGCCTTGTCCCGGGTGAGCTATTGAGAGCTGGTTTGGGTTTGACGGGAGTAGTAAGATCTATCACATGGTACTTTTGAGATTTGACCGGCGTTTGAGGAGACTGTGTAAGATCGATGGTCTCTGTTGGTTTAAAGTCCATAGATGCCTCGTTTTGGTCACTCTCACAGCGGCGTTCTTGTTGCCCGGCAGAAGTACCGTCTTCGACAATTGCCATGGGTGAACTACTATGAGATGCACTAGGGGGCGAAGGGTCGGCGACAATGAATTTGCCAAGCTCGTTCTCGGATTCGCTTGTCAGTATCTCCTCGTCCGAGGAATTGGCGGAAACTAGCTTTGACTGTCGACGGGTTCTGACGGAGGTCCGAGGCGGGGCTGGAAGCTTTTCAGGTTCGGTCGGGGTAGTGATGACACTGAGAACCCACGAAGCATATTCTCTGTCTTCTACGCTCTGTTGCAAGATCAAGGTGTTCATCTTCAACTCGGCTATTTTACGCCAATGCTGGTGAGTCATCTCTCTACAATACTTCATAATGCGGGATTCGCATGCCTCGAAAACACTGCGATTCTTGTCGATCGACATCTTTAGACCGGCCCTTCGGGCATTTAACCAAACTTGGTTGGATTTGTATAAGAGCTTGGAGGCCTTGCGCTCTCTCCAATCGGATACAAATTTCTGAATAGATTCATCGATCACAGCTTGGACTTCGTCGCCAGATAGGCCACGTCGTTCCTCCCGCTTGAGCTTTTCGGTTTGTATTTCAGCCCAAGTCTCTGAATCGTACTCGTCATCTGAGTCTCCGTACAAAGGTAAGATTTTATCGTGATCCGGATTGTTAGCCCCAGGTACCATATCCAGCTTAATCGCGTAGGGAACTCGAGGCTTTCTATTCCGTAGCATCCGACGCTTGAGAAGCTGGTTGATCTGTAGCCGGCGGCCATGCGGCAGTCTATCGACTTGAACAAATGCGAGTTGCCGTTCATCTTGCAACATGTCTTCCGAGAAAGGTTCGGCGTCGTTGACCACTTCAACGATATCCACCCTAGTGACTGCATCTTTTCCGAGGTAAGCCCAAGTTGAATCAATTGCATCATTTCCTCGATTATTAATAAGATTCCTTGATCTAGATGCTATAATCACGTCCGCTTCGGAGGGAATAGTGCGTGACACGTTAACATCGATATCGGTTGAAATGAGCATAGGGGCTACTTTTCGCTTCTTTGTAGCAGGCGTATCCGGTATGGGGGTCTCCTGAGCGTAGGAAGGAGTGTCATGAACTATGTTAGATCGATATGGAGTCGTAGTAGACGCGACTCCAGAATGGGAACCTTCATGGATATTGCTCGACGGAGGTCTTTGAGGCACATCTTGTGGCCTCTCCAAGGTAATATCGATGTTTCCTTTCGATAAAGGCGGAAGAAGGTTGCAAGAAGTAGGTTTGATTGATAACATCTCCCTGTCGACATAGTTTCCCGTTTGATCTTCGTCATTATCAGCTTCAAATTCCGAGTAGCTGCGTTTCTGATACAGTCTATACTGTTTGCTACGAGCGCGGAATGAGCTGATAATATGCTTGAGTATAGACTTGTGCTTCACAATCCTGATGCATAGGTCTTGGCAGAGTTCAGCACGATCATATGTGAGAAGCGTATGACCGTCAACTCCATGCTCTCGTAATAAGGGCTCAAGCTTCTCTGGAGGTGGAAACTGCAGGGGAGTAGGAGTTGGAGGTTCCCAGGATCGATTGGCTGAGCAGAGCTCCCGAACCACCCTATCGACGTCCCAGTCCCATGGATCGTCCATTGTCACTTAAACGATACCATTGAGTGGGGTGAATAAGGGATGTGAAGGAACACTAGAAATTAAAAGAACGTAAGCATAACACGTATTGATTGCTAAGAAATAACGTGAAAATATAGGTAGAGAAATAGTGTAGTGGAGTGGTAGAAGTTATCGTTGGGGATGTGAATTCAAAGCTTAACGAAATATCAGAGGTACAAAATGGGGAACTACAGGAATAGCAACAATCGAGAAGGAGCTTCTGAAGCTAGACTCAAAAAGCACAGGATGCAGCATCCCTTTCTCATCGTCAAACATACCTAAGGCAGGTACTTGGGCAGTAAACAACGAGTAAACAACAAGTAAACAACAAATAACGCCAGAAGTTATCGAGGTCATTTAATAAAGGAAAGCATTAACTTACAGTAGATGGGCGTTTAGTATGGTCAATAGAATAGCAACTAAACTATGAACTGGTATAAGTTTTGGGATGTGAAGAAAGAAATATGATATGTCACAGGTGTTGGAGAGGAGAGGAGAGGAGAGAAGGCTAAGTAACCCCGGGCGTCAGTAAGAAAATAAGAAAGAACAGCCGGCAACAAGAAACGGGAGGCGTGAAGGGAAGAGAAAAAGCGGGATGTAGATCACGCCGAGTATGGAGCCGCAGCATACAACAGCGTGACGACGTGAAGGAATATGTAAAGATGAAAATGATGAAAGCCTTGCAGTACGCTCCGCTCTGCTCCGGAGTGCCTACTTGTAAGTGCGCCAGCTCGCCGAGAAGTAGACTCTACTCACTCAGCGAACAAACCCATAAGTACATGTTGCTGGACGAAGACGTTTAGTGCATATGTAGGACATATAACATATAAGAGATCTGTGTTACAGGATATGAAGTTTCAACCCTGTTTAAGGATGAGCGGACCGATAAGAAGACCGATGAGAAGACCAACTAAAGATGGTTGAAATTGAATTAACAATAAGCGGCATTTAGGTACTTCGCAGCGTACCTCATAGCTTAGGAAGGTTCAAGTTACTAGGACCTAAGGACTTGACAGGGTATGAGTGGCAAGTGGCAAGTGATAAGTTGACGTATTGCCATTGCTCTTGCTTTTTTTTAAAAAAAAAACAAAAAAACAAAAATCCCCTGTCTCCTAAAGGGAAGAGTACAGAAGTTTCACTTAGTTATTGTTAATTAATTCTACAAATACCCAATCAGTCAGTTATGTCTTAGAAAACAATAGTCATAATGAGCATGGCAAGACGGAGGGCATTATATGAAATGGCTACATACCTAGTGGCCAACATATGTATGTATACACTTGACGGCAGCAGCAAGTGTCGTTGTTAAAAGAGGATATCCATGTACATAGCATAGATCCGACGCGTATGATGGGAAGTGTCCAGGATCTCGAGGTGCTTCGCGACGCGGAGTAAGGCCCATTGAAAGACCGGTATCACGTGATACTGGCATAGTCCTTATACCTACGTTTAAATACATGGCATAAACCCCTTAAAAGAGAGGATTTGTTTTTATTGATTATGGGTATTATGTTTGAATTTTCCCGGTAGATACCTGATAATAGACAATTAGGTAAATTTAAATTTACTAGAGAAGCAGTATATACCTTAGGTAGGTATACATAAGATTATCCAATATATTTAATCCATTAATATGCTTAAGGCTAAGTGCTTACATGTGCCGTTTTACATGCACATGTAAGTGACAGCCCGAATTTGCCGAATTTTAACCAGTAGAAAATACCGTTAACAGCCGACTCAATTCGAATACATGCATGTGTGTGTACTTGGGATATATACATCCTAAAATGCGCTACATGTACTAAAGAGATTCACGATGGAAGCTAGATAGCCACGACTCTTATTTCTAAGCAGTGATTACATACATGATGTCGTTGCTCGAGTCTAGCTATGCCTAATTCTAACATGACAATCGGTTGCAAGCGGTTCTAAGACAGCTAGGCCACAGTAGGTTTGGTTTGTCTTAAGTATTTATAGGTAGAGACGCTAATAATCGGGTGTAGCAAGACACAGACTTCATCCTGCCAAGTTCAAGACAAACCAGGTAACACCACAGCTTTGTACCTCTTTGGCTTATAAGCCTTTCTACTACAGCCTACAATATCCCCCCCGCAACGTCAGTTTGATATCATCAATCATCAATCATCAATTGTTACAATTTAGGCATGTCCAATTATCCACCTGAGATCACGCCTAGTGAAGGCGAAAGGTTGACCGAAGTTGTCAAGGATTGGGCACTGGCCCATGGCTTGACTGTCCGACCACCTCCGGCTGTTATCGCTGCTGAGGCTGATCCTGCGGGGATACTTGCGACTACAGTTCCCGTTACTCTCTTCCCGAGCCCCTTTCCCAAAGTGTGCTTCGACCAGGGAGTTACAGTCCAGAAGGCTTATAATGAGCTATATGCATCTATCAGCCAAGATGAGGAGTTTCTGGCTCGGACTGTGAAAGAGTAAGTATAATGGACTCATGGGAATATATTCAGATTAAAAACCATAAACTAATAAAGCATAGAATTGGAGACGGCGATGATTTTATAACGGAATTATGGAAAGTTCATCTAAGAGTCAAGCAAGAGGGTTATGTTCAGGTAGGCCAACTAAACGAACCTTTGTTGTCTTAGCATGTAGACAAAGCTCACTCTATGATACAGCACAAAAGCCTTGGCCTCTTCAGATCCGACTATATGGTTCACCAAGATCGTAGTGGATCCAGCCCGCAGATCAAGCAGGTTGAGTTTAACACAATCGCGGCCTCATTCGGAGGTCTCTCGTCGCAAACTTCATTACTCCACAGGTTAGAATCCACCTTCATCTCAAATTATGCAATACTAAGTGTTTAGGTATCTTTCTTCAGCAGAGTATCCATTATTGGAGAGCTCGATTACGAGAGGAACACTTCAATTGCCCGAGAATAGTAGCGCCGCAGGGTTAGCCAGTGGTATACGACAGGCCTTTATCGAATATGGGCCCCCGTCTACTAGCCACCAGAAGTGTGTCATCTTCCTCGTTCAAGGAGGTGAAAGGAATATCTTTGACCAACGCCATCTCGAATATGAACTCCAAAAATCCGAAGAGCCGCTAATCCCCGTATTCCGACTACCATGCTCGGAAATTTTCCAGCATACGACCCTTGCCGAAGGTACAGGCCGTCAGCTACTATATCAACCGCCGCAGCTATCTTCTCGCACGTTTGAAGTTGCTGTCATATATATGCGCTCGGGATATGGGCCGTCAGACTATCCTGACCAATCCGCCTGGGAAGCTCGCTACCATTTAGAGAGATCGGCTGCCATCAAATGCCCGACGGTATTAACCCAGGTTGCCGGCACTAAAAAGGTTCAACAGGTTTTAGCAACGCCCGAGACGCCACCAAACCCGCCCATCCTGCCCCGCTACATATCCAAGAACTCTGCATCTATATCTGACCTGGCCAACACATTTACCAATATCTATCCTTTGGATGGAACAGAAGCCGGACTCCAAGCTCGAAAGATCGCTGTCGACCCTGAGCTTTGCAAAGGCTACGTCCTCAAGCCCCAAAGGGAAGGGGGCGGCAACAACATCTACCGTTCCGCGATCCCACCATTCCTGAAATCCGTTCCGGAGTCGCATTGGCCGTCATACATTCTGATGGAGCTGATCACGCCGCCACCTGTCAAGAACACGATACTGCGCAATGGAAAGCTAGAGCACAGCGGCGTTATCTGCGAACTCGGCATATATGGAACCTGCATCTGGGACCAGCAGTCTAAGGCCATACTCCACAACGAGAAGGCGGGCTATCTTCTGCGCACGAAGGGAGATCAAAGCGAAGAAGGTGGCGTCGCTGCTGGGTTTGGCTGCATGGATAGCTGTAGCTTGGTCTAACATAGACGTGGAATTGGGAGGGGCCATGGTCTCATCTCATAGCATTTGCCCATTTTAACTGGCTACAAGATATTAGAAACTACCAAATACAGTCGTCCATCAGACTTAGTATGCAATTTTTCAGGGCCAGAAGTGTTCGTATAGTATATTAGTAGTCGTATCTCGAGGCTCTAGAAGTGAAGGACCAACTGTGTGGGCATTGGTATTGTTTGATTATTTTGGTCATTGCCACTCAATATTTTCCATGAGCCGGGGGCAGAACTGGAGGCATATTATATATTGTCATCCTGGACAATGTACGGTGAAGGGACATGGTTAACACATTTGGTATCAAGTCCTGACGTAGCAATATCATACAGTAACATCCCCAAGCGTAGTGCCGTCATTTAGACATAAGAAAGTTCCCATAGTGGAGAGCTTTAATCCAAGATCAAGGTAACACATCTTGGTCTGTTTGGGCGTCGTTTTGGCCGTCCCAAGTTTTATACACATTGACTACCTATTACCTATTCAGGAGGAGTTGGTCGCTTCAGGACCTCGATGTTTCCTGTTCAAGTTTATTAGCATTAGCGGCTAAACATCATATAGTCTGGAGTCCGGATTCTGGAGTCTGGATAATCATACTTTGGTAAATTCTCAACATACTTCGTGACTTGCCCTCGGCGTCGGTGAAGGCATTCATGGTGGCATCGCCTTCGACGTAGACAGTAGCTCTGTGCGTCTTATGTCAGCTCCGGTCTCCACTCCACATTAATCGAAAAGAAAATCCAAAAAAGGAAAAAAAAAAAAAAAATATTGTGTGGCACAGATAAATATATTTCCATGCGAAGCTGACATGGAACTCAACCAATACGCCCACTCCAAATATTTCCTATAAAACTAGAAAGAAAAACCATCAAAGTCTGATCTCAGAACGTACCCTTTAGGTAAGCTAGTCAAGAAGTCCCGGCGGGGTCCCTCCTCGATAAAAGCAGCGACCCTGAACCAGCTCGTCTGGCGGTTATCTTTAGGTCCATAGTTGCTAGCGACGGCATACTCGATAAGTTCGCGGCCTGTGCTAGTAGCCCTGACCTCGGGGGGAGCAGCCAGGTTACCGACCAGCGTGATTTTGGCGACATCACGGCGGGCGGACGCACTGAAAGCGCGGGCGAGGCCCGGGGCAGCAGCTGTGGCTCGACGGGCGAGGAAAGACATTTTTTTTTTTTCAAATTGTATATGGACCCGCGTTGACGAGGAGTGCAAATACGGTGGTAGCCGGGTGGTTGAGCTGCGAACAGGGACGATGAGAATATTTGCGAGTTGCGCGTTTGTCAAATATCGTTAAGTCCGCGATTGCATTTGACGCGACGGAAATTAGGTAGCCCTAATCGCTATTTCTAATTGGTCCGAGGTCGGTGGGGGTACAAGATGACTGGATTATTGGATATATCGGATATTGTATTAGAGATTTTTTAAGTAGCTTATAATTGCATTTCTGAACAACCATTCATTACACTCATACATTAATTACATATGATAGCATCACTTGATTTTTACTCATCTTAACATTTAAGTCAAAGCACCCTTACGGGGGCCACCCTAGTGGGGGCCACCTCAAAAACGCAACGCATTTACAATAAAATCCATATACAAATTATTATATAATTTTATTAGTTTTTAATTAATTAAAAAATAAAACTTATCATTTAAATCTTTATTTTTTTATAATTTTAAAATATTTATTTTCTTAATTTAATTGTATTGCGTTACAATAATAAACAACGTTTTTAACGGCGTATTTTTACGGTAGGCGTTTAAAAAATACTTTATATTATAACACTATTTTATAGATCAAATATTAAATTGTAAAATATAAAATAACTATTTAAAAAAATGTTAAAAATTATTGAAATATTAAGAAAAGGAATTAGTTAATTAGGTTATTACGTTAAATTATATTGGTTATATACTTCTTTTATATTAATTTAGAAATATTATAAGAAGATTATTAATTTATAATTATTAACCTAATACCTTTAATAAATATTAATATATATAATTTTTATTTTATTATTTTAATATTAAATTGGTTAAAGTTTATTTAATTAATTATAAATAAGTTAATAAAGTTATAATTAATAATATTAATATTTTTTTAACTAATTTAAAATTTTTAAAATCAAAAATATATTGGTTAAGTATACATATAATATTAACAAAATAGAGATTATGGAAAGGGTTAAAAATAATAGGATAATTATTAGTAAAGTTTATAAAAAATATATTATAGTTAAAAATTATAATAATAAAATTTAGATGTTAATTATTAAATATGTTAATGGTAATAATTAATTTTTAAATCTTTTTATTATATATATAAGTAAATATATATAATAATAATAATTTTTTAACAATAAAAATGTTAAATTTAAAGGTTAAAAATTTATTATATTTTTTAATAATTAAATTAATAATAATATTGTATTTAAATAATTTTATAAAGTTTTTTAAAAAAAATAAGGTTATTAAATTATTAATAATAATAATTATTAATCTTTAACAATTATAATAATTATATTATAATAAAATTCTTTTAAAAATATTTTATAAATAAAATTTACATTATCTTCATCTCAATATACTTATTACATATTTTATAAATTATTAATATAAATATATTTTTATTAATAAAATAAAATTATTATTTGTTGGTAGGTACGTACGTATGGTAAAAGCAATAAATAAGGTAACAATAAACAATAATGTTAAAACTGGTATATAATGAATGTCTAAGGAGGGAAGAATCTATCTAAGGCTAGCTAGGTATAGCATGTTCTTATATTCCAATAATAGTGGATACCCGACCCCTTTATCCAATAAAGTCGGGTATCTTATCTCTTCCTCCCTTATCTACGATAAAGGCACCTTATCATTAGTAAGGTGCCTTTATGTCAGTGTCACACGACCATCACTTACTCTGTTTTCTTTTCGCAATCAATTGATTGCGAAATATAACTTAAATAAATGAAACCTCAAGATTTGTGCTGACGTATACTTATGTTGGTCCGGATATGTGCCATCACGCATTCGTGGTCTCACGCATCTGTGATCGCACACACTTGTAACGGTCAGAGGATGAAACCGTGATGGTCCAAATCAGGAGTCATCCCACAAGTGGGGTCGCGCCAGCACACATCGTGCCATCCCATTCCTGGTATATCCCTCCTTACTTCCTGCGATGGCCTGCGTCTGGGTTGGTGTCGGTAATCGGCCTTAACAACCCACTACTGCGCTGGCTCAATATCGCTCCCAATTTCCCCGCGTTTCACCCACCCTTCCAAGCGTAGATCAATCTGGTTGTCCTCTACTAGTGTCCTCATAGCCTCATTTGGGGACGCCTTTGTCATCGCATCCGCCGGATTGCAGCTGCCATATATCCATCGGATGTCATTAATTTCCCTGTTCTCGTACGACTGCCTCAGGGCCATAAGATCGATCATCAATCTCTTCTCGTTGGTACTGCCCATCTGGACGAGGCATTGGTACAGCGAGAAAGAGTCCGTGCACAAGACGAGAGGGATCATCGGGAGGCTCAGTCGGCTCAGGATGGTGTTGATGGTATTGTGGATAACGTAGCCCACATCGAAGCCCTGCACCATTCCGTAGATCTCACTGGCGAGTACGCTGCGCGTGACACGCTTGCACTTGGTAGATGACCAATGGATGATGTTGCCGGTGAGTCGTACTTCGTTGTCATGGTCTGTGGGTCTCTCGTTGCCGAGTACCACGATGTAGCCGATCTGGGAGCTCATGTCCTTGTTGTTGGCGAATGAGCCGTCCACGAAGACGTACAGGCGCAGGTCTTGGGGGTCCAACTCCACATACCTGAGGCCTCGATCCTTGTGGTCTACCTGCCATTTGATCCTCGCGTTGAGGGCTTTGGCTTCCTTTGGCCCAGGTTTCGTATGCTGCGCTGCCGTGGAGTAGTCGAAGGCTGCTTCGGGCTGGCAAATGGACGCAATGTAGGCACCTCTTGCACGTTGTTCTGTGAATCTCTTAATCATGTCGGGTGCCTTCAGGTCCAGTTCTTCCAGCCTCTCCGCTTGTCCCTTCTGGATAGCAGAGATCGTCCTTTCATGGACCACGATCCGTGATCCGTTGAAGTCTTCGACTGCGCCTGGTTCCAGAACCTTCTGAGGTTTCGCCTTGATGCCTGCCCTTGCAAGAGCCTTGTCCTCTTCGGCCAGAAACTCCGTTGTGCCGATATTCAGTGTGTCATCTGTCTGTAGACCTGTGATTCCGAATGGTCGATTTGGCTCTGCAATCAACAGGCACGGGTCAAATGCTGACGGGGTCATGCCTAATTCCTTCTGATGATGCCTGGAATAAGTTTCAAACCAATACGTGCCTGATTCCGCGAGTCCGTACAGAGGTTTGACCACTCGCAACAGCGTTCCCTCAGGGTATTTACTTTTTAATTCTGAGGGTAGGCGTACGTATATTGTCCTTTGCATGGGGGTCTTGGACTGTGTATACGCCATGGTGATATCTCGGATCATCACCTTCATGCCTTGCTGTCGTAGTGTGGGTGCTAGAGCCAGTATCAGGCGTTGGCTGGCGCGTTGGATCGTTGGAGCATATGTCATGATGGAGTCTTTCTCGGGGTCTCCGTAGCCTTGTACCACGAGTCGTGATTTCTCATATGGTGCTGGCGTGTTCTTCCCCTTGACTTCGCGGACCATACGGGACTTGAATATGGTTGCGCCTCGGTGGAGTGCCTCGTCGTACATCTCGGGTTGCAGGATGCCGTCCGCAAAGAGGGCATCGAGTTCCTTCATGTCGGAGGCCTCGTACGGCCTTCCTGGCGCGACTATCTTTCCGTCCGATCGTAGTTTCAAGGCGAGGGCGTGGTCGTTCTTTTCCTTTGTGCTAACATATGCTGTGCTCATAACGAATATATCCAGATCCTCGTCGGGTATGACCTTGTACTCATTGGGGTCGAACTGGGGTGGCGGTGGCGGTAAGTGAACTTCAAGACTTCCTTTTGGCTGCTCATATGGCTTGACGTGTGTACTCCGGAAAGTCGAGGTGCCTCCTAACGCGCTTGATGCGATGGTTACGTCTTTGTCCGTGACGGCGATGACCTTGTGTGGTCCTTCCCATCCGCCTTTTTCACGGTAGACCAGTACGCTGCTGCCGATGGGTAGTGACATGGGTAGCGTTTTCAGGGTGTTTGGTTCGTTTCTCGTGTTTATGGCGTCGCGGATGGTTCTTTGCGCCTTGACCTTTTTGACTTCGATCATAGCCTTCTGTACCGCCTAAGCCCTTTCCAGTTGCGATTGCGTGGGGGGAGAGTCCATGTTAATCCTTGGATAGGCGCCAAAAACCAACAGAGTGGGGACGAGACCGTCCGGGTTTGCCGTATCGTTTACGGCCTTGACTGCCATTTGCAGGCGAGCCTCCTTCAACCCCTGTACTTCTTCGGAGATGATCTCGTACGCTTTCCGAATCGGGCCGTGGTATTTCTCCACCTTGCCGATTGACCAATGTGCCTCGACGGGTACCTGGTTGCAGATAATTCCTGCGAGGCGAGCCTTATTGCGGAATTTAACGCTGTCGAAATTGGTGCCCGCATCGTGGCTGAGGACGTCCGGTGGTCCCAGGTATATGTCGATCCAGCATTGCTTAAGCATCTCCCAGGTTTCCTTGGCGGAAATGCTCTTCATGAATCGGGCCGCTTAGAACCCTATTGCTGCGTCAACTACGTGGAGAACCGGTTTCCCGTCCAGGTACATGATGTCGGTGATCACTTCGTAGTTAAAGTCCATGTCGGGATCCTTAAGGCTGAACTTGAAGCGCTGGGGTGCCTTACCCTTGACCTGACAATGGTGGCAGAACTTATTGATCTCCTTGAGGTCTTCAGTGCTTACCTCATGTCCTGCCTTGTCGAATAGATCGTAGAACTTGCTAACAGATGGGTGGCCAAAACGTGTGTGCAGGCGGCGCAATTCTGCCTCCGTGAAGTAGGTAACATCGTCGAGCTAAAACCATGGGTGTCCCCATTTTCGCATGACCTTAACTATTACGCCGTTCTTACCGATCAATTGGTTAGTGACATTGTTAAGGTACACTCCCAAGCGGTCCATATCTTTAATAGAAAGGAAAAACGGAGTATCCGTTTCCATCACATGGAAATCTACCTTACCAAACGGGGTGTCAACTATCACAATCCCCAATAATTCGATAGGCAAACCATCTCCGAAGCGTATATTAGCTTCGCCGGCGCAGCTAATATCCAGGTCGTTACAGTACTCTAAGTTCTCGTTAGCAAGGGCTTAATACTAACCCTTACCTGCGGTTAACACTCGCGCTACTCCCGTATCCAGCATAATGCCTTGAAACACGTTCTTCGCGTATCGGTCGAGGACAAATATGGTATCGGTATCGGGTTTATCAGCAGATTTTTCGAGATTTAACATTTATAGATTAAATCAATACTAAAAAGATTTATTTAAAAAATAAGCCGCAGTCATATACTAACTCTCTAGCTCTTCTTCTTTTCCAGCAAACTCCTCGAACTCTTCTACGTCAAAGTCTTCAATGCCTTCGTATCCGGCCAAGAAAATTGCATAGTTTTCCTTCGCCTAGCCTCTCTTAGCCTTCCATTGGGCTCTGGCCTCCTTGCGTTCCTTCTCCGGATGCTTGGTTAACCAGCATTCTTCTTTCTTACATACCCAGCAGCGGCGTTTCCAATGCTTTGACATCTTCTGGCAAGCATTATATTTACCGCCCTTATCGTTGCGATAGTATTTACGATCAACATAATATTAACCAATACCATACTCGTCGTCGTCACTATCTTCGCTATCGGTACTTGCCATAAACTAACGTGCCCCTTTGAAATTCTCAAACATTCCGATAAATACTCGGAACTTACTGGCCAATTCCTCAAAGTGGTGCGACGAAGTGAATAGTGCATGCTATAGTTGTAGTACGCTGCGGTATGTTCTATGCACAGCTGCGATAAGTTGCTATTTTCCCCTAAAATCGGGTCCGAGAGCGCGTTGACATAGTGACAACTTATCGAGCATGACTTGTAGTACCTCCATGTCGGACTTGCCCTTGTTTTTCTCTTCAGCCTTCGTGCTGTAGAAAGTAATGGCTGTCCAGTTTTGGTGGTACTGTATCTTGTTTTGCTCCGTGTTGAAGTGTCGTTCCATGGCCATGTACATGTCTGCGAAGTACTAGTGTCTGGGTACATTATGAAGGAAGTAGATTGCTGCTCTTCCGGTAAGAATAGTGGAAAATACGGCATGGAATTGTATCTGTCGAATTCCTGTCGTGTAGCATACGTCCAGGAAGAATCGAAACTTGTTTTTAAGGATGTCATATGTTTCCCCTGTGTAGTTGTTTTCATTATTTCAGGCCTTTTTGAAGTGGCCTACGATTGTCGGAGGGCACATCTCGTTAGGGACTCGTGCCGGGGGAATGTCATAGTAGGTCTAAGCCTGTTGGTTACCAACGGGCATTAGGGCTTAGGCGGGGGGGTTAGGTGCCTGTAAAGGCGGTGGAGCCATCTAGGAGGAGAAACCGTAACCTCTGGTAGGTTGGTTTCCTCCGCTTGGTCCGACGTTTGGTGGAACCGCCGACGTCATATATGGACCACCCGGTGGCGGTCCAGGGGGTCCAGACGCATTTCCCGCAATTGGGGGAGGGGGCTGTGCCTGGCCAGTTCCATATCCGGGGTTGTACCCTGGGTTGTACCCTTGTTGTCCTACAAAGGGTACGGGTGGCCCTTATTAGGCCGATGGGGGAGGGGGAGGGGGGTTGGGTGATGCCCAAGTGCCGTTTTGGTTGCCTTGTTGGGGTTGCGTTAATTGTTGTGGATGATTCGGCATACCTTGTGGTGGCGGGCTAGGGTTAGGTGCATGGGGAGGGGGGGAGGGAAAGTGTGCTGGGAGCGGTGGTTGGTTGGGGGGTCGGGGAGTGGGTTTTGACTGTTGGGTTGGTGGCGAAACGTTAGGGATCGACGATGGTTGGTTGAAGGCAGGGAGCAATGCTTGTCTTGGCTGTGGAGTAGGTGACACGTATTGCAGGTTGGAAGGGGGTGGGGCCCAAGGCGTGGTACTCTGCATTGGGGCCTGCCCTGTGGGTGCAACCGTGTGCATCGGCGTCTGTGGGTTAAAGATCGCCCAATGTTGTTGTGCTGGCGCCTGTGACTGTGTGGACGCGCGTGCAGCGGGGTACACCGGTCCTTTTTCGGTCTTATGAACCGAAACTTTTCATGCCAATGCGTCAGGCCACCTTGCCTTTACTGCCTCTAATTTAGCAGCATTCCATATGGGTGGGTTACGCAGTGATATGAGGTTAGCGAGTGCCTCTGCATGATTGGCGTTGTGTTTTCCCATGTAAATGCCTCTTTGCATTAGTGCGCTCCGCAGCGCCGATCGTAATTGTTTCGGCAATGCCTCAAAGTCATTTACCGTGAATCCTTTGAATCGTTCCTGGTACTCAGCCATTGCTTCCTCGGTTGAGCGTGTATATGATGCCTTGTTGTCGGTGGTTTCAAAGTCTACCAGTGCGAGGAGTGCCTATGTTGCTTTCTGTTCGGGCGTGGCTGTCTGGGGATCGATTCTTTCCCATCGTACTGCCATGTGGTCGAACATTGTGTTGAGCATGAATATCCGACCAGGGAGATAGCTCAGGAGCTTATGCAGCTCGTCTATGTTTTCCTGTTCAACAGGATCGTATATGGCGCGAGTCTGCGCCTGCGCTAAGCTTTCTGCCTGTGTTTCTTGGGACATGGTGGAAAGGATTAATGACACGGGTGATGATGACTCCGTGGATGGGGGGTCTAAGTCGCGATAGTCTGCCAGAGATGCGAACGGATTGTGTGAGGGGGTGAAGTTGTAGCCTGTCATAAACTACGGGAGTGATGTGAAGAAAGGTGCTGATGTCGCTTGTGTTGTCGCAGTGAAGATTTTCGAATTGAAGCAACAGTGACTCTTCTAACCTTACTAATCTATGTTGCTACTGTCTAGCAACATTGATCAGTATTGGTAGGTACGTACGTATGGTAAAAGCAATAAACAAGGTAACAATAAACAATAGTGTTGAGACTGGTGTATAATGAGTGTCTAAGGAGGGAAGA